GCGTGGCAGACCTCTCCTGACCCGCCCGCTGCTCCCCTCAGCAGTGTACTTCGTCGATCTGCCTGTTCTGCACCCCACTCTGTCTCTGGTAAATCCTCTCACCCTCTGCATCTCTGGCCAGTACCCCAGTTCTGTATGAATAAATAAATAAATCTTAAAAAAAAAACAAACTCAAGTTTTCTGATTTCCAGTCAAAAGCTCTTAATAATGGGCTAATTTGGGCCCTCCCTGATGGAGCAGTGGGTTGAAGCATAGTGCTTTGAAACTATCAGCAGCACGAGTTCTATCCCCAGCCAGGGAGTGACCCACATGGCTGGCAGACCTCTCCTGTCTTGCCCTCTGCTCCCCTCAGCGAGTACTTCAGTCAGTCTGTACCCCGCTGTGTCTCTGGTATATCCTTTCAAACCCCGCCCCCCACCTCTGGCCTGTAACCCAGTTCTTGTATGCATAAAAAAAAGATAACCATTGCTTATCCAAAATAAAATTACTTTTTGTATATATATTTTAAAAATGGGCTAATTTTCACAGCCTACCCAAACTACATTTCTAAACTATATTCAGTGACCTCAAAGTTATCATCAATAATAAGATTTCTAACAAAGGAAACCTTTTCACATTGGTAGGGTTGAAAAGGGTATGGCTAACTGGCAAAATACGGCATACTCGTTGGATTTTTGGAATGTTTATTTTAGTAGGTTCCTTGCAAACTACCCAGACCATTGTAATTTACTAATATAAATCTTGGCCTCACTAAATTTTGCCAAGTAGAACAAAATCCCTCAAATGCATCTTTTGCTTCTCTTCACAATTCCATTGTATGTCCTTTGTGTCTAATTATCCCACCTAAGAAGGATTGATGGAGCAGATGTTTCCATTTTTATAGAAAAAAATTATAGGAAGGATGAAGATTACAGTAGATAGTAGCCAAGTAGATAATAGAATCCTGGTTTCGTGACCCCCAATTTCTGCATATTTTCTACAAGATGACTCTGTGTCTCCTATACCGAGGTTCCTAAATACTGGTGCAAAAACAAACAAACCACACTTAGATAGATAAACAGATACATGGGTCTATCGCAGCTCAAGTCAGTTTCTGAAAATGATGCCAAGTTTTGGAACCACTGTTCTACTTGTGTTGCAGAAGCAAACCTAAATTTAGGTATGTTCACGATTTTTCTCATCTGAGGAGGTAGATTTGTCTAATGCAGTGAGGTGGAATATTTCTGTTGGTTGAGTTTGAGCTTTTGAGTCAGCTATACCCACATTCAAATTTTCTATTTGCCCACTGCTGGTAAATATCTCAAGGGTTATACATGCCAATAAATAATACATGTAAAGATGAATCACGTTGGAAGGCCTAAGTCAATGTTAATTTTTTTTTCTTCACCTTATCGTCTCTGAACTCACAGCTTGGGAAGCAGAAATTCCTGGGTTCTCTGTCTTGTGATTGGAAGGTTGGCAGAAGTTATTTGAGTGCCCATTTTGCACCTTTCCAAAATGGGGAAGGAAGGAGTAAGAAGCAGTGTCCCAGGTCTTCCCTGCAAAACACACTTGGTTGCCTGCTACATGGGCTTCTGGGAAATAATCCAGTAGTGCCTGTGGCCATGGGCTGGTAAATGCGCCCGTTTTTGCTTGAAGGTTCCTGTTAGTGCGGTGAGAAGCCTCTGGGATTTCTGGGAGCCAGAAATGCGTCTTGGAAGGTCCCCGGGTGTGGAGCCTCTTTTAGGAGGCAAGGAAACCTTGGGAAGGCTGGGGGGGGCGGCGCTGGGAAGCTTGGCACCTGTCAACACTCCCTGGAGCTGTAGAATTGCGTGGAGGTGGAGTGGTAGAGTGCAGTCATGTGATCCCAGCTGCTATCACCTGACTGTTTGCTCTGGCTTGGGGAAGTCCCAGTGGCTGGTGTCTGGAAACTGTTGATATTGCAACAGGTTTTGGTCTTTCCCCATTTTCCTCTTCCTTATCCCTCTTTTGGTGGTGGTGGTGGTGGTGGTGCTGGGAGTGTGGATGGGTGAAGGGGCACCTGTACCCCTGTAATCTGAGTGGGTAACTCTGACAATAAAGTTCTGATAATGCTTTTTCCTCTACTTGAGACCAGGCTGAGGCTGGCTGCCTGGCCTGTGGAGAGATGGTGCCCTTATTTAGCAGCTGGCTGGGGTCTTGCTTGGGTCAGAGGCCCCAGTAAGGGTTTGTATATGACTCCAGGCCACGAGAAGACTTGTGTTGGGAGGTGAGAATCAGGTGGGTGGGAGAGGGGCTTTTCCCCATGCCCAGAAGGTAAGTTGTCAGGCTCCAGACCAGTGTTACAGCCTGAGTTTCTTGTAATTGGTGTTCCTTTGACTTTGTTGCTGCTTCTGGGGATGGGGACAGGCAGAGGAAGGAGCTAGATGAATGATGTGGGTACTGGGGCAGAATACTTTCATTTCCCCAGGGACTGGAATCCCGGGTTTCAACTTTCCCAGGACAGCTGGGACCTGGTGGAAATTGGGGGAGGCACCCGTGCGCCAGGACTGGAGAGCCTTGTGCTCATGACTCGGGTGTCCACCCAGTGTGGGGCCATAGTGAGCAGATGACTTCCCGAGCAAAAACTCAGAAGGCAGAACTTTGAGATGGGTGTGGTGGGGTGTCAGAGGGGCTTTCTGCAGTCTGAAAATGAATCCATGGGCTGATTTTGCAACATCACCCAGCCTGCTGTCTTCCCAAGGTCTGCCTTCTACCCCGCCTGCCAGCCCGTTCCCCGGTCCCACCCTCCGCTTCCTCCCGGCCTTTTCACCATGCCCTTTTTCTGTTTCTGCTTTCCCTGTCCTCCCTTCCTGTTCCCTCTCCTCTCCTCTTCCCTGGTGCCCTGTTCAGCTCCGTTTCAGACCCTCTGGCTGCCTTCCCTGGCCCCTGTCCTTCTGTGCTTTCATGTGGGACCCATGGGAACCGGAGTTCATAGCAAAACAGGAAGAGCCTGTGAACAGGAAGTGGGAGTGAGTGGGGCAGGGGGTGAACAACCAGCAGTAACCTCAGCTCCTGGCCTCCCACATCTGGACTGGAACATCCCTGGGCTTCTCTGCCTACCCCACCAGCCTGGGATCTTCCACCTCAGCACTTCCAGAGTCCACTGGACCCGAGAGGCAAGGCCACAAGCGTGTCCTAGGCTTTGCCACAGGCACAGAAGGACATCAGGATTCAGATCCCAGCCTGGCCACCAGGTGTGGTCTCGGAAGAGGGTCTGCCTGCCACGAGCTCAGTGTTCTCTGTAAAGTGGAGCTGGTGTTTCCTACCTTCCCGCTCTCCTAAGGCTGCTCTTAAAGGCAGAAGAGATAGTGAGGGTTTGCATACCAAAAGTTAACAGTGTAGATTTGAGGTGTTAGGGGACCAGAGCTGAAAGGATGATAATATCCTAATAACAACTGGGAGTAATAACGGCTACCATTTCTTGGGTGCTTGCCACATGCCACACACTGTGTGTGATGCTCAGTTTTCGGGACAACCTTATGTGGCAACAACGATGATCCTTATTTTTTTTTTTTTATTAAAAAGTTTATTTTTACATCATTTTGCACATTTTTTTTTTCATCTCAATTGTAATCCCCACGGGTTTCCCATCACCAAATCACCCCTGTGCCACCACCA